GAGTTTACATACCATTAAAATACGCTATAAAATAATAGTAACTTTTGTAGTTTTAAATCTAAAAATTATATTTCTTTTTGCAAATTTAACATAAATACAACTTATTAACTTAATAATATTAATGACAAATAAAATCGCACTAAAAAAGGGAATAAAATTAATGAAAATCAATGAAATTGTAAACTCCATTTCCAAATAAAAAAAAATGGAGAAAATATTAAAAAATTATTTTTACACAGATTTGTTAATGGAAATTAGAAAACGACACACAAAAACTTAGTTTTTGAGATGAACTTTCGAATAGAATAAATAAAAAAACGTTTAAAATAAAGTTTGTGCAAAATAAAACATATTAAACTTCATGATTCATGTGTGGTGAAACGACAAATGTGCGTTTTTTGAACATTTGCAATTGAATTACAACTTTTGTTTTAAAATAAAATTTTTTTTCGATTATGATATTACTAAAAAACATATTCAAGATTAATTATGCAAAAGGTTGAAGTAGATTTGATAACAATTTTTCAAGATATAAAATAGGGAACAGTGGGGAAGCAAAAGTGACCACTGATTGAAGAATCACCCATATACCAATTGTTTAATTTTTTATTTTAGAATAATTATTTTAAAATGTTAAAATAAAATGTCAAAAAATACAAAATTTCAATTTTTTGTGAAAATTTAAAATATTTATTAATTCTATAAATTTTGATAAAATATATACTTTATATACATGAATCGATTCGTTTTTATGTCAGGAATGCAATTTTGACAAGAATTAATAAAAATTTTAATATAGAAAAAAGTTACTTCAAAAAATCCAAAAATTATTTTTTCAAAAATTAAAAAATTGTTCAAAAATTTTTTTTTTTAGATATTTTCGAAAATCCTTTTGTCTGATTTTTGGTATTCGTGACCGTAATACACCTACAAAATTTTATCAAAATCCGTCAAGACGTGTAAGAGAAAATTTGTCCACAAGAATCGGTGACATACACACATACATCCGGACATTTGTTCCTCTCGACGAATTATATATACTACACTTGAAAATTTGTAAAAATAATTGGTTCTAAAAAATTCGGAAATCGACATCACTATAAGGCTTCCTTTATGAGGAAGCAAAAATCAAAAGTTTATTTACAAAAGGGCGATGTATATTTGGAAAGTGTAACAATCGAGTGCACGAGTTATGGAAATGTGAACCGTTAAAAAAATTTATTTGACATTTAAATTTAATAAGATTTAAAAAAAATCATTAAAAAATTGTGTAATTTTTAAATTATATGCAAAAAAAATATTGTTAAACAATTTTGTAATAATTTTTAAACATGATATTCAGGTAGAAAACACTTCAATACATAAAAAAAATTTTGTCCGAAAAGAAAATAGTATGTTTATTAAAAAATAGTTAAGTTTGAAATCCGACTAAAAATTCAGTGCATTCAGGCGTTAATGGGTTAATGTAGACTAAAATGTGATTGAATGTGAAAAGACGATACCAAGGTAATTGAATTATTTTACCACTTCTATCGAGCCATCCTCAAATTTAAAAGCCTTAATGTTATTAGAACTTTTTTGATTTGAAAAAACCATTATTTTTGTTTTTAATATGTTTATTTTTAATTTATTTAATTTACAGTAATTTAATAAAGCTTTATTAGTTTTCGAGAACATTCTAGAGGTGTATCTGCCAAAAGGACAAGATAGTCTGCATAGGCCAATAAGAGTATTTCAATTGTTTTATTGATTATTATGCCTCTACATCCCTCCTTAATCAAGAATTCTTCCAAGTCTCTAATAAACAATATAAATAGCGAAGGACTCAAAATTTCTCCCTGTAAAACACCTCTCGATACATTTACTGATTTTGTGTTTCCCAAACTAGACTCAATATAAACATTTGCGTTACTATACAAATCTTTTAAAATATTTAAAATTTTTGTGCTCAATCCCAAATTGTTTATTTTTTGCCACAATAAATTATGATCGACCGAAGGAAAGGCACTTTTAAAATCAACAAAAATCGCATATAGTTTCGAGTTTTCTCTTAACATATGTATTTGTAACAGGGACATAAGCGTAAACAGATTATCTATACAACCTCTTCCCTGGCGAAAGCCGGTTTGGAATTCCGGCAATAAATTCTTATTCGTTGCCCAGAGCGTTATTCTTTTATTTAAAATTTGAGTAAATATTTTTGTAATTACGTTGACTAGGGTGATTGGTCTATAATTGTAGGGATCGGACGGATCCCCTTTTTTATGAAGCATGAACATTTGTAATCGACTCCACTCTTTGGGAACTTTTCCTAAATTCATAACTTTATTAAAGAACAAACAAAGATACGCTATCCAATCTGGGGGTAGGTTTTTGTAAAATGTTCCCTTTATTCCGTCTGGGTCTGGTGCCGTATCCCCCTTACACTTCAATAAGCTATATATTATTTCTTGTATTGTTATATCGGAGTCCAGTAATGGATCTGTGTGATAATGGCATAAAACGTTTGATCTCGGGGACTGTAAGGGAAAACTATCTAGTAAATATTCATTAGGGTGACCGTTATTTTGCGAAAGTTGGAATTTCTTAGTTCGCCGGGCAGAATTTGCTTTAGAATGTGAAAAAAATGAGCTATGCAAAAAAACAGCCCAATTGATCAATATTAACCCGTGCCACCGAAGGGTTAAAGTTTAAATGGGGTTTAACATAGGATTAGTGCACATTTTTACATTTTGTATGAGACCTTTTTTTTTAATTAATCTTTTGCCTTGTCGACATATATATTTATGGTTTTGGATGTGCTGAACACGAATCCGATGTCAAAAACAAGTTTTGACAGCTTCCAGCTGTCAAAAAAGCTGTCAATCTTTTTAAAATGACAGTTTTTGTGTGAATTTAGACAGTTTTTGTGTTTAGTTTAGTAAATCAAACAAAATTTTGCTCATATAAAAGTATTTTAAGAACAATAAAGTCAAACTAAATAGCAATATGTAATATTGACAGTTGACAGCTGTCAATTAAACTGCCAAACTTTTAAAAACGAGAGTTTTTGACAGTTTTTACATTAACTTAGTCAGATAAAAATGTTTTCAGGGTATTTAGGTAATCCTGAATAGAATTATGTAAATTTGACAGTTGACAACTGTCAATTAAGATGTCAAACTTTTGAAATGGAGACTTTTTATATTAAATTAATACTTGCATACGAGTGTTTTTAAGTACACTGGGGTGAATTATATTAGCGAAATGTATTCTTCACAATTGACAGCTGTCAACTGTCAATATTACATATTGCTATTTAGTTTGACTTTATTGTTTTTAAAATACTTTTATATGAGCAAAATTTTGTTTGATTTACTAAACTAAACACAAAAACTGTCTAAATTCACACAAAAACTTTCATTTTAAAAAGATTGACAGCTTTTTTGACAGCTGGAAGCTATCAAAACTTTTTTTTGACATCGGATTCGTGTTTAGCACATCCAAAACCATATATATATATGTCGAAAAGGCAAAAGATTAATTAAAAAAAAAGTTCTCATACAAAATGTAAAAAAGTGCACTAATCCTATGTTAAACCCCATTTAAACTTTAACCCTTCGGTGGCACGGGTTAATATTGATCAATTGGGCTGTTTTTCTGCATAGCTCATTTTTTTCACATTCTAAAGCAAATTCTGCCCAGCGAACTAAGAAATTCCAACTTTCGCAAAATAACGGTCACCCTAATATTCATACCATACATTTAAATCTAAATTATTTGACGTCCTGTTTTTTATTTTCACTTGATTAATTATTTCCCAAAATGACTTAGAGTCCTTTGTTCTACTTAAAGCTTCCACTCTATTTAATTCAAATTAACTTTTTTTTATAATTAGTTTTTTATATTGCTTTTTGGTTTCGACGTATGACATTTTTAAAATCCTTTGAAATGAATTTTTTTTACATTGTTTTAACAGACTTTTTACTGTAAGCTTTAAGTTTAGGCATTCCTTGTCAAACCAAGGTTTATTTATCGCCATAAATGGTTTATCTTTAATTACTTTTTTCATGTTTAGGGAAGAGACTGCATTATACAATGACGTACACAGAATTTTCTCAAGGTCTTCACAGTCCATAGATACCCATTGTGGGTTAAACATTGATTCCATTAAAAAATAAAATTCCTCTGCTTTGTTTATATCAAAAATTAATTTTTTGGAATCAAATTTATAAAATCAAGTATAACAGGAAAATGATCAGACAACGTGAATAAAGATAAAACACTTAAATCCTTAAACCGATTCAAACCATTCATCGAAATCCATACTAAACCAATGACACTTTCACCATTTGAATTAATAAATGTGAAATCTCCTAAAAAATCGCTTTGCGATCTCCGATTAATTAATAAAAAACCAAAAGACTCTAAAGTATGAACAAGCAGTTTCCCTTTACTATTATAAACTTTATCCCTTGAATATAAAAAACTTATAAACTTTTTATCCCTTTTGAAGCATGAGTCATACAGCAGTTCACTATTAACCAGATTTAAATGAGCAACTCTGCAATTAAAATCTCCTCCAGGTACAAATGGACAGTTAGGAAATTCGAGAGACAAATTTGTTAAATTATTTTTTAGATCATTTAAAAAAGAATAAAAATTTGCCAAAGGGGAACAATAAACTGCTCCAAGAATAAATATAAAATTTTTATAATAAACTTTGGCAAAGACAAATTCATCAGTTCTTAAAAGTTCTTTCATTCTAAAATATTTTTTATTATATAAAATCATAATTCTACCACTAGCTCTACCGAAATGAGAGGTTTTTCTTGCCTGAACATTTATAGAATTAAAGTTTAAAATATTACCTGGAATATAAATCTCCGGAGAAATCAACCAAGTTTCATACAAACAAACTATATCTGAATTCCTCACAACATCAAGAATATCCTTAAAGTTCATAAAACCATTGCAGTTCCAGAAAATGCATCTTCCCTCCACGTAGTTGCTTCTTGATGATGATCTATTATCCAGACTCGATCTCTTCCCATTGAGCTTGCTTTCCATCGATGAAAATTTTGTTGTTTTTTAATATGGCATCAAATTTTCGTTCCTTGAGTAATTGAATTTTTTATTTTAAAATTTTTCTCTCATGCCTCTCTTCTTTAGAGTAATCATTCGTGACTACTAATTTTAAGGATTTAAAGTACTTTATATTGGTAAAGATAAGTTTTAACCATCTCGTGCCTGTGAATTTGATCAAAACTGGACGTATTTGATTTTCTGATTTTTTTCCCAATCTAAATATGTCGTTCACCGCATAGTCTGGAATAGGAATGTTGCCCTTCTTGAAAATATCGAAGATTCTTGCAGATACCGTCAATTCTGTCCTCTTGAATTTTTCGATTTCACGTTTATTGACTCGATTTGAGTGTGTACTGTTGATCTATCTAGGAGAGTACAGAATAGAGTCGAAGTCGGTATGAACGCGCTGATACAACGCGCTCGTCCTATGTATTCCATATGGACGAGCACGTTCATACCGACTTCGACTCTATTCTGGACTCTCCTTTACCACATGATTTAGGGAGCTTTCGACGTTCGCGCTAGGGGCGCAGTGAGTATAAGTCACAGCGCTAATCTAAAAAATACCCTAAATCATATGGTAATAGACCAACAGTTTGTCAAATGTCATTTATTTACATTTTAACAAAATTTTAAATTTCCTGTTCGTTATCAGCATTTTTACACATTAAATCAATCAGTCTTTTTGATTAAAATGCTAAATCGTGTCAATAAACGTGAAATCTAAAGATTCAAGAGGACAGAATTGACGGTAAAAAAGCAGGATTTATAGAATGCCCACAATACGTTTTCACGCGAAAACGTATTGGCAGAAACTCACCGCACAATCCTGCTTTTTTTACAGGGATGCTAACTTTCTGATTGTAGTCACTACTATCAAGTATTGTCGAATTTTTACGTAAGAGCATGCGCTGACTATGATAACACGTTTCAATGCCATTGAAAAAATTCGTTAGTGTTTCCAAATCCATTTAAAATGGAAAATTTTGTAAAAAATATTTTAGTATTGTGGAATATGGAATCTTTGATTCCAACTTTTGTCAGTTAGTTAATTATTTTTGTTATAGTTAATCAAAGACTATAAAATTTATACATGTTTATAACCTCAAAATTTTAAACGATTGAATTTTCTTTTAAAATGACAGGTTAATGCTTGCACAAGTTATTTTAATTTTACAATAAATTGTTTTAAAAGTGTTGGAAAGTCTCTGAAATTTGTAGATTAAATGAGACTTCTGATTATCGCCCAATAGATTGGCACTGACTGCTTTAAAATACCTGAAATAGGTAAACAAACATTTTCCAACAAAGTTTTCTCTGAACACAGACACTTTTTACAAAATCTGCTTACATACACTGAATAAGCGTCTTCTAAATTATAATAACCGAAAAGATTGTTTAAATCCATGCGTAAACGTTATTGTAAAATAAAAAATTGAGAAGTAATTTAATGCAAAGAATATGACAGCTCGGCCATTGTGCTCACTCTGCATACTTCTGCCCTCTTCTGGCGATTGGAACAATCTCTGATGATATAACCCCAACCAACCATTTTTAACATCAAAGATTGTTACCTGTACAATCAAATTTCAATAATCTTCTGGATAGTAAATACTACAATGTAGATAGCTGTCTGCCACCACAGCATCGAAACTCTCCTAAGAATTTATTAAATATTTACTTGCAATATTCGGAATATTTAATTGCAATATGTTTATTGAAAGTTGTGTACAGCTTTAAATGTCCCGATTAAATAAATGTTTAGCGCGAAGCTTTCCTGATCATTTCAATAAAATCTTCGCATAATTATAATTATAATTATGCGAAGATTTTATTTCATGTTCAGAAAAGCTTCGCGCTAAACATTTATTTAATCGGGACATTTAAATCTTTACACAATTTTCACTAAACTTTTCAGTTAAATATGACGAATATTGCAAGTAAATATTTAATAAATTTTTAGGAAAGTTTCGGTGCTGTGGGGACATGTATACGTAGCATTAAAGATGGTCACCCTAACCATCATTATGTTACCCACTATACTATAATAAATTTCTCTCCGTGTGATATGCGACACAATTTCTTTTTCGAACAGTCGTTTGTATACACACTTGTCTGATACGCATTGAATGTAACCAAAATCTTGCAGAAAACTATTAAAATCTTTGTTCTGGCAACGCGATGATTGTTTCAGGCCATAAAGTGAACTTTTCAATCAGCAGACTATTTCACTGTCAACATTTAAGCCGTCAGGTGGAATTTTGCTATTGGGAGTCCTATTGAGAATGTAAGTGGCGACACTAGTTCACCAATTTCTGTTTCCCTTTTTTTGGAGAGGAGAGTTTGTGTTGTTTTCCGTATTGCCATCCTTCAAAAAAGAATTTTGTTTTTTTCATTCCTTTGCTGGTCAAAATTCCTTAACAAAATAGATTTTTCTTTAAGTTATGAATGTACAAAACATTCGTAATAGTCGAACCATACCATTTATTATCTATTAATTTTTTATTTTGACGGTTCCTTTTCCTCTGATTGGTAAAACTTGATCATTTCCAAGCACAACACTGTTATCACAATCAAGTTCTTTGTATTCGTAGAGAAAATCACGTCGCTGGGTCATGTGGGCTGACGCTCCACTATCTATGGTCCATCTGTCATCGCTAGAATCCTTTAGAACAAGTTGCAGGTCGAATTTCTTCACGCTAAATGCGAATTGATTTTCATTTTTCGACGATTCTACTGTAATGATCGTGAATTTAATTGCCAAAAGAATAGCTCGCCGCGCCGGATGGAATTCGGGTATTTAGTTTAGTTAAATTTAGCAATTTAGTCTTAAAATCTTTATCAAAACAGTATTTAAGTTAAGGATTGTTTTATTCTATGATTTAGAGTAAAGGTGTAGTCATTAATAAGGCATTAATTAAACCTTCGTAAGAAAGTATATTTTAGTAATAAACAAAATAACAAAAATATAACTAACTAATCGTTTCACTTATTACGTAATTACCGAGTTTACATTACAATACGTTACTTTACCAACATCTTGGATTTTAACCGACGTAAACGCTTATTTATTCGCGAGCGTAAACTCTAGAAATTACCCCTAGGCAACGGTACGGACGATTACTAGGGTCGTGCACGCTAGGTCGACTTTAATATCGAGATTGCTAGATACCGATTCTCTCTTCGGTATTCATGCCCAATACGAAGCTTAGTGCAAATAGTGAAGGAAGGTTAAAATACAAGCTTCATCTTCCCCCCAGATGTACCTTGGGTCGAAGGGTTGGTTCACAATGGCGTAGACGGAAATTATGCACGAGGTCTTACACGGATGTACCCCTGGCCCGAACAAGTGCATAAGAGCGAGAAAAAAGTGACGGAGTAACGAGGGGTGTTACTACTGCACAGTAGTACCTGTGTCTCGAGTACAGCTCCCTCTAGGAATTTGAACAAGCTAGCAGCCCCAGTTGTACCTGAGATACCGCCTGCTTGCACCAGGTAGAAAGAAAGGAGAGAAAAGAAGGAGAAAGTTGTCGTCGATCTTCCTCGGAGCAAGCCCCGAGTCAGTTCGACGGCGAACTGAGAAAATTGTCCGTGCGAGCAAGGCAAGGCTACTCTCTTCGCGACTAGCAGGCTGAACGTGCTGTAGTATATATAGATATATGTACTGTCTGTACGAAATATAATTTCTCACGTTAGATTTTAAATGCTATCGTTACACTACGTTATTTTGTTTTCTGATTAAATCTGAAAAGCGACAATCTCGTTCATAATGACCTTTTTTCCGCTCTTGTAACGTTATTTTTCGTTAAAATTTTATCAAATTTGTTTTTACAATTCCTTTTATCCTGTTTTTGTGCATTAAGGACGCTGCACGGTGGGAAATATTTAAAAGTACGCATAAGCGTAGCGAGCGATTTCTCCTCACCTTCCACTCTTTTCCCCTCTTTTTATCACTCTTGGTCCAATTTTTTGAATTTGATAATTAATTAAAAAAAATCCAGAATGAAAGTGAAAAAGGGCGATTTAGGGAAAAATAATATTTAATAGAGAATATAAAACAAGCTTTCTTATGACGATTAGATGTTTCTATGGGCGTAAATATCAATCCGCGTTTTACGAAACATATCAAACCGATAGCTCAATATGAGAAGCTGGACATGGCGGACCATAACAGGTTGCTCCGTTTGCGTGGTACAGTAGGAATGAACGTGAGGATCAAAAATATTAAATGTCAATTACTCTTATTGTTTACTATTATATTTATTATTTATTTATTTATTTATTATTGTTATTATATCTATTATTATTTATTATTATACTTGCTTTTTAAAAACAATTTTTTAAACAAAATTATTTCAAATACCAAGATTAATTTTTTTATAGACAATAATATATAATATTGACATATTTAGAAAAATTAAATTTTAATGGATAATTTTTTTCTTTATTCTTTATCAACTATAGTTTATTCCTAAAAAGACTATTTTTAGAAAAAAAATTTGGTTTTTTTATTTCTAATGATTTAAAATTTTATGCTTCTTTTCCCAAATTTTTCACTTTGATATTTTATTTTAAAAAATCCTAAAACATTTTTAAAAAAATTGGTTTTTAGAAATAAACTACAGTCAATAAACATTCTAAGAAAATGTTTTCTTTAATTATTTAATGTTTCTATGACCGTCAATATAAATCCGGGTTTTACAAAGCAATACAAATAAATTGCTGTCTCTATATAGAAAACGTCCTTATATATTTAATTATCACTTTAATGTAAACGATAGTAAACAGACATAGGATAAGTGCGCTAATTATTGCTGCGGATGCTTAAATTTCTGCGCGTTTGTGAAATAAGTCATTATTTATCACTTAAGAAAATATTAATGTTTTAAAAATTATTTTGAACAACTCTTAATACAATTTTCTTTAAAGATATACATTTGAAATAAAAGTACTTTGTTTTAAGTTGCTGCGGACAAAATGATATCTAAATGCATATTATTTTGGCCTCAGAAACTTAAGGCGCTCGCACAGCTCTACTGCCTGCAGGTAGTCATGGTAACAAATAAGAGTAAGAGAGTCAGAAAATTCAAATTAAATGTTTTTTCTCCCTTACTATCATTGCTCCTGCCTGCGCAGGCAGGCAGGCAGGCAGGCAGGCAGGCAGGCAGTAGAGGTGAGAGAGCAGAGCTGGGTAAAATGGTTTTTCATATCTATTTAAAATACAAAACGCCAAATAGGTTCATAAAACCTATTTAAAATGGAAAATGATTTTCTGTTTCTAATTTAAAATGAAAAATGCAAAATGTGTATTTGAAATAGATTAACATAAAATGCAAAATGGTTTTTTTAATTTTTATTTTAAAATCTGTATTTTGTTGACAGTTTCAAAATAAAATACCGTACCACGGTCAAAATTGTAAGTCCATCCATTTTCAAGGAAATAAAAAAAGTTTTTAAAAATAAAATTTATGAAAACTAAAATTTGTTTCGACATATGGTTTGAAAGATGATAAAATTTTAAAAGTTATAAGACCTTACAGAAGTAATTTGGCCAGTATTTTATTTAGATATTTTTAAATAAAATTAGACAAGTACTCACACTGCAATGGTGGGTTCCGTACACAAATATTAAAACAATACTTGCAACATTTATCGGTAATTGGTAGAATTAAAATAAGCAATTAAAAAAATATATTAAAATCATTTGATAAAAAAAATAACTAAAAAAATTAAAGTATTGTATATATCTAATATTGTAAAGAATAATAAGCAGAGAAACAAAATTTTTAAAATTATAGTTCCACTGCTTATTATTATTGTTTACAGTATTAGGATATAAAATACTTTAATTTTTTTTTAGTTATTTTTTTTTATCAAATGATTTTAATATATTTTTTTAATTGTTTACTTTAATTCTACCAATTACCGATAAATGTTGCAAGTATTGTTTTAATATTTGTGTATGCACGGAGAGAAAAATCAAGCGTTTTTAGTATGGAGACTTCCTATGGTAATTTTGTATGAACGCCCTG